GGGAATATCATCCCCATGTTGCAGGAGATCAAGATACTGGAACGTGGTCCTCATTCTTTACTAGAACTAATAGGTTTTGTTCTGCTCTGCATTACTGATACTGCTTGTTTTTGCTTTTTAAAGGTTCCTCATCGAGGCATAAGCGAGTTGATATTGATTTTTTCAATCTCAGAGCTGGTATTGATCTGTTCAAATTTGCTCAATTGATTTGCCAGAGAGAGGCAGTGAAGAACTTGCAATGAAGCTATCGGCTGAAAAACTGGGATGGTGGGAGGCATGGCAATGACAGCTAGGGAGAAAGATACGTGAGGTGATCCCGTGGGTGTATGTTCAGTCCTGTGGATCTGAGTGGGGGAGCTAAAGGAAAAAGACATTTTTTTCCTTTTTAACTCCAGCCCATTTGTTCAAATACTGAGCAACTTTCTACTGTGTAGAAACAGGCAGTTGTAAAAATGTGTTTTTTGTATTGATATACTTTCCTTCCACTTATTCCAAGAAAAGAGGTTTATCAAAATATATTTGACTGATAGATTAAGCCTAACTTTGCTTTAGAAAATGTAGTTTCAGAAGAAAGTCTTTTCCATAGTATAATCTCTCTGGGAAAACACACTGGTAAAAATACTGGCAGGACCTATCTCAACAGTGAATGCTGAGATTCCCAGCTTGCAAAAGACAAAAGGGCAGAAAGAGTATTGCTATAATCCTGTCACCCTTTCCATTAAATAATCCTTTCCATTAAGGGGAATATCCTTTCCATTAATCAGTATTAGTTAATTTGATATTTCTTCAAGATACAATATCCCTGGGAACATATCTCAAATTTCTCCCCAAATACCACCTTAACCAAAGGATTAGATTACTGCATTTACCTGTATTTTGAGTATTAATAGGATTATATCTGTCCTCAGTGGTAGATGTGATTGACTCTGCTTATGTTCACTGTTCAGTAGATGAAAAAATGATCGCATTTGAAAATGTGTCAGTTGTTAAACTCATTATAGGTCATTAATTATGAGTGAGATTTTCAAAGGAGCCTTTTTGAGAGTTGCTTGTTTATCTTCTCCCGTCTTCTTTGAATGTTTTTTTCACTTTATACTGTGCTAAATATAATGACTCTAAAAATGCTAGCAGGTATATTTTCTGTACGGTGTTTTTATAAGCTAACATTATTCTTTACAAATTAAACCAAATGTTCAGATTACAGCTACTATGGAATGTCATGACCAAGCAAGGTGCTGTTCTTTCCATGAGCTTTTATTCTAGTACACACGATAACTTTATAAAAATTCTGTTTCACAAGTCAAAATCCTTGAGCTGAGACAAGGTAACATTGTTTCAGAATCAAGAGTAATGATTCGGTCCATAGCATTTATTAGGAAGCTGAAAATCATTTTTGTGAGAGACAAATCTCTGGTGCCAATACAAACTCCCTGAGAACCACTTCCCATTCCTTTCACTCTCCAAACAAGATACTTGTCCAAAGTTATTCAACTAAGTTAAAAAGAATGTTCTCCTTCCAATATCAGCTCTTGCTGAGAAGAGAAAAACGAAGTTGACGTGATAAAATTATGTTTTGGGTTAGGCACTGACCTTATTGTTAAGATACTTTCAGCCAAGAGTGGAGGCAAGCCTTTCCTTAGTGATCAGTGATCACGGTGATCACGGTTAAAGATTACCATCCAAAATAGATTGCAAATAACCTTGAACAGTGTCTATGGATAAAATTTTAGAGATTCCTTAAAATCACAAATTTAGCATAAAGAGAACAAGGTCTGCCTATATATGAGAGAAAATGGATAGAAATGTATCAGCATATGGAGAGGATAGCAAGTAAGGCATGAGGGAAGAAAAGGAAAAGAGTGTTTTAGTGTAAAAAATGCACGGAAGGAGACTTCGGAAGCTGAGGAAAACAACTTGTTGTGTCCTGTTTTTTTGTGTTTAAAACTGTAGCCCGGTTTTTATAAGTAATACTACTTATTACTTTAGTGTAAAAAATGCATGGAAGGAGACTTTGAAAGCTGAGGAAACAACTTGTTGTGTCCTGTTTTTTGTGTTTAAAACTGTAGCACGGTTTTTATAAGTAATACTACTTATTAAAAAACAAGATTTTACAAAGCAAGGTCCTAATTAAACTATCTGATTCTTCTCCAAAGAGAAACAATTAGGAAGAAGCTAAAAATTGGCTAAATGATTATACCAAGTGGAACAGGCCTATGCTGCCCTCCAGAAAGATACGGATCGTCCTTATATCCTACGTGGAGGTCTGGGACACCATAAAGCATCCCCAATGGCCCTGCGTGTCTATGTATGGCCCATTGAATTGAGTCTCTTCTTACATATAAACTGCTTGCAAGAGAAAGCTGTGAACTTGAAACTTCACTCAAAAGGCAGTAAACATATAATGCATATGTTGCACTTATATTAAATGCCTTTTAAAAATACTTAGATACCATATGTTTATGTGGAAAAGATGTTCTAGGAAGCAAAAATCCACAGTCAAAGTTTAATATGGAAAAAAAAAAAGGAAACTGGCTAGAATTCATTTAAATGCATGTTTTCTCTTTATATTGCCATCACTATGGGAAGCTCCCATTACTGTGGGCTTCTGGGTGGAGATACTAAAGAAAAGCTTTACTGGGTTTTGGCTAAAGACTATAAGAGCAAGACGTCCCAAAGCCCAGTAAACTTATCAAAACCTTTAGTTTAATGCAATGTAAGCAAAAAGACTAGGTCACTGATCTAATTCTCTTGCCAACCTAACTTCTTCATGCAGGCTTTTCGTGAACCCATAGAGCCCTGACATTGGTAAGAGCAGAATCACCTGTGTCCTTTCTCGTATCCAGCTGTGCTCCTGAGCTCACGAGACGCTTGAATACTGTTGTTATGACATTAACTAAGACTGTATCGTATTTCCAAATACATTACTTTCTCTGTGAAAGAAGACTTTGATATTGTAGCTTATATAGTTTAAGTTACTTTAAACTATAAGTGACTTAAAGTGACTTAAGTCAGCTTAAATAGGTGACATTTTTTCTGAGTCATTTCTGCTGCACACCATAAATGCTCAGTCATAAAGCATCACACTAGTGTGAGAATGTGTATAGAGTTGAAACATTGTCTCTAGTGTAATGAGGTGGATTTTCCACACTTATTAGGACTTATTTCTAAAATACGTTTAAGAAAGGATTTACAAAATGGGCAAAATTATGTCGACTGGGACTCTAGCTGTCTTATAGGTGTCTCTAAATGTATACGTGCATATATATAGAAAGGGCTACCTCGTTCTGAGCTCACGTACACTTCAACTCAGTTCTCCTGAAAGCCAATTTCTAGAGACAGAGGTAAAGCAGCGCTGAAAACTGGAGGTATCTTTTGTAAGATGTTATTAGCTCTCTGAACAGTATTTCTTTTCCCTTTACAAGATACCCACAGCTTTATTCATAATGTATACAAAATGTTAACTCTCATGAGAATGTAGGAGGTTTGGTGAGAATTTCTCAATTTAAACCTGCCTTCTCGTGAACACCTACTACATTTAAAGTGGACTCACTCATTACTTAGAAAATAGTAAGGAAACAGAGCTTTCAGATCATTTCATGGGGTCCTATTTTTATGAAATTAAAGGATATTTAATATACGACAATATTTCTGGAAAGTATTAGGGATTAAGTTCAAAGTAAGTATTTAAAAAGAAAAGCTGTCTATTCAGTAGATATTCTTTAAAATGAAAATGAGACTTGACTTTGCTTTCGTGTTACATATGCAAGTCATAGACTAGGATAAAATGAATAGAAGTATATTGCTTATTGTACATAATATCCTTCAGAGGAGATTATAAGTTATTTTCCAAAACATGTATTAGCTTTCTGCACCTTAGTATTAGGTGGGGGGTATCTGTACATCCTCTAGGTAAGATTTGCGAGGTAGTTGTTCAGCTTAGACATATTAATTATGTTTCACAAACTTATTGCTGTGGATTCAGGGAAAGAATTTGAGGAATGCTAGAGCAGGATCTGTAATAATGAAATGGCATTTGTGGTGCACACTAAGAAGGGCAGAACTCGAGCACTCTATTGGTTTAGAATTCTGTTGGATTTGAAATTTTATAGAAAAGTCAACTGTGTCATGCACACAGTATCAAAATATTAAGTCACCTGTAATAAGAGTGTGGTAAACAAAAAGGGAAATACAATAACACCAAAATATCTAGGCATGAATTACAATTTAGAATATCCAGATAAATGAGAACATTTTATAAAATATGGGAATCATTCTCCAGTTCCATGACATGGATGCATTTCTTCCTATCAACTGTCTGCCACAGTGTCGAAAATAAAAGTTTCCAAACACGTTTATTCCTAATTATGAGATACCTATTCTAACTGGAGTTCTGCCAGGTATATAAACAGTAGATATTTCTCTGGGACTTTCAAGGAAAGTTAATATGTTTTTAAAAAAATTGTATTTTTTCCTTAACAATCTATAAAACTTTAGCAGTCCATTTAAATGTCTTTAAACCAGCTACAGGCCCCCACTGCTGAAGTATTTTAGTGATTAGGAATGTACTGGTTTGTGTTGGAAGGACAAAGCAACCCATTCCTTAAGACAAAACTGCTTCTTTAGATTAGGATTCAAACCCATTCTTCATTGAGTTCTTTCCTTTCAGAAAATGCAGTTACACCCCAAACGCTGTTGTTTTCTTTGACTAAATTGAATGTAAGCAGCTCCAGAGCAGCAGTTCCCGGGTGCTTCACGCTGGATCTGGCTCTGTGCACACGCAGACACACACACACAGTTGCCTCCTCGCTGTAATTCCCGTTAGCGTGTGCTGCTCTCGGGGTCTCCATCTCGGTGGGACCCGCTTGGCCAGCCCTGCCCGCAGAGGCTGTCAATCACCTAGGAAAACCAGAAATCTCTACAATTTTACTGTATCTTTGTCTGTCCTTTCTTTCACCTTTCCTTTACTGCACTATCTTGTCTGTCTGATTCTCACAGGAGACATGGATTACAGCTGGGTGGACCATACGTCTTGGCATAGCAGTGAGGCCTCCCCAATGTCTTTGGTGAGACATGTGGAGCCTTACCATTTAGTTTTCTTTACCATTTCACATTTCCTTTGTTTTATTTACGCCTTTGCATGTTTTCTTTTTTGTTTCCTTTTTTTATCCCACACCTATAGGGGACAGTCAAAGGGGAAAAAGAAAAACTAGTGAGCAGGCAGTTTTGTCGGATTCTAACACCTTCTCTGAGAGACAAAAGAAAATGGTTTGCTTTGGTGGCCACTCTTTGGAAGAGGACTTGGAATGGTCTGAGCCTCAGATTAAAGACTCTGGGGTAGATACGTGTAGTAGCACAACCCTAAACGAGGAGCATAGCCATAGCGAGAAGGTACTGAGATTATGGAGCCTGCCTTTTAACCTGCTCATTTGGTCTTTGTTTGCTCTCTGTCACTCATTAAAATAGTGCATAAAATAAGAGACAGGGTGTTTCTAGACAAAACGTAGCATTTCCTAAGGTGCAGAAAAGAAAAACAAATGACAAGTCCCTGCATGCTTGCAGCTTTTACTGTTTGGCAGTCGAATACCAAAAAAAACCCAAAATATTGAGGCAAAAAGGAATGTTATTTTGGTTCTGTAAAAGTATATCATGGTATTATCCTCACGTATAATGTGATTAACAATAAGGATTTTGCTGATTGGCTTATTTGATTTGCTACATCTGAACTCCTGGGGCTGAAATTAAATGAATAGTTTAAATCCCAGGTGAAAAAGGGAGAAAATTGGGTCCCTCTCTGCACAGAAAAGTTGTTTTTCTTTTTTCCCTTTCACTGTCATGGTTGTTCTTTTGTTTTGTTGCCATGCCATTTTTGTGCAGTATTGTGCAGAATCAGAGTCTTTGCCATCTGCTTTGGTGTTTGTTATTTTTGCTTTTGATTTGGTGGGGATTATGATAAATCTTTTTAGAGTTATTAGTTGTAATGAGAGGGGATTTGTCTGTGCCTGCTAATATTGCATGAAGTAGAGCATGAAAGTGGTGTTTGTTTGTGAAAAAAGTGCTATGATTACATAAAATAAATAAAAATATTATTTAAAATTGTATTGATTATCTTAGGCCACACATACAACAGTATGTGTAACCATGCCCACATATAGAAATTAAATTTAAAAATTCACTCTATCAGTGCGCAATATGTGCAGTAATCACTCTGATAATTACTATATTTAAATGTAGAGTAATGAATATAGCTTTTAATGTAGTCTAACTTTTTAATTATTTGGGCTACTGAAAGTACACTTTGAAAAAAGTTTTCAATTCTACTCAGAGAAAACCTATTGCATTGGAATAGGGAAAAAAGAACAGTTTGTGCTGTGATATATCAGATTTCTGGTCTGAGTTAAATTCTTTTTCAGTATTAGCCTTCTACTAGACTTAACATTTATTTTTAACATTACAATCTGGTGTGATTGTCATTGTTCATGTATAACTGTCCATAGTTTTCTATGTCTGTTCAACTACCAAGATGGCATAGATATTTACAAATTCAATTTAGTAGAGTTGATAATATTTCTAAATCTTAGAAATACATTGTGATGGATTATATGTCCAAAGACATCTTTTTCAGGACTTGTTTTCTGTCCTCATATTAGATTAAATAGTAGTGTAATCATAGTACTTACATTGTGTTTTAAAAATTTGTCAGGAAATTAAAAATATTGCTGAAATATTATTGTTCGAAATCCCATTCACTTTATTTTCCATTAAAACCATGTGATAGCATCCAGTAACCTGGCAACCATCCAAAGATGGAGACCGTCTCATTGGTCGGATTTTGTTAAACAAACGACTAAAAGATGGAAGTGTGCCGAGGGACTCGGGAGCAATGCTTGGATTGAAGGTTAGTGATGTATAATTTTGAAACTGTTTGCAACTTTCCCTTAGCTAAAGCAGACACATTTATAACATAGATATACCCACTGTATATAGCTCTATCTATAGCTATACAGCTATATCTATAATGTCATCTCACAGAAATAAGTTATAAAGACATTTTATATTCATCTACTGAAAGTAATTTTGTGAGATCCCTGAAAGACTCAGTAAATTCCATTTCACAACAGCACTAGACATGTTTTCACCAAACTTGCTGAAAATGCCTGCTCTGCAGGATATTTAATTGCATCCTGGTTGGACAAGCCGAGCTCTGCCCACTCTTTTCAGAATTGGCATTATGCTATACAGTAACTTATGTTCCCAAAAGAGGGGAGACATGAGAAGCACATAACCTTTTGTGGGGATAGAGGAGCCAAATGGAATTTGACACCTGGATCTGGAGCAGAGATCCAGATCCACTGGAGAAGCACTGCCTCTTGATTTTTTACCCCTCAGATTGATTTATTATATTTTAAATACGCAAGACTGAAAATTATTTAGCATTTATATATTATATACTAAGGGTTTTTTTTATTGTATATGCTTGCAAATGAGTTAGGATCTTTTTCACGGTATAGTAGTCTTCCAACATCTAACCTATGCCTGCCTCACGTTATAATCTCATTTTTATGTGGTACCGTTATTTAAATCAATACTTGTACAAGAATGAGAATGAACTATACTTGATGAATAACAAACAAACAGGCATGTATTTATTTTGAATCTACTTCTACATTATGACAAGTCATGAATTTGGTTAGTTCATTATATTTAACATGACAGTGGCTTCATTCTAGGTATGCAGATTAGGATAAGTAATCAATGCAATTAATTAAAAATATACTGATCTGCTTTGGAAATTTTTGAATTTTAATTTTATTAAATTATTAAATATTACATTTATTTAATATAATTATTTAATTTTAACTTAATTAATAATTCTATTTTAAGGTCAGTGGACAAATAAATTGTGCACTGCTTTTGAAATGTGTATTATTGTCTTCCTGTCAGAAAATACAAAAGAAAAATCTACTAGGGCCACCATAACTTATTATTAAAATGTATTATTATTACTAATAGATTATATTTTGTTATAAAGATGAACTGTTTATTAATGTTCATGAATACTATAGGTTCAAGATAACCACTTTTTAATCTCAATAGACTTCTGAAAGAATGATTTTTAAGAGCTTTTTCCCTGACCTGATTTTTAAAAAGTTTACACAATTGAAAGTAGCATAACTGAATTTGGTATTATGATCTTTCATCCGCAATATGAAGACAAGTATATATGTATGTGACAAGTATTCTCATCAAACTTGCCCAACCAAAGTGGATTTGATTAATTGATAGAGACATTTGCTACCTCGTATAAATCCTTCTGCATAGTAATATGATTTTGTAGGTTACCTCAAAAGTGCAGTCTTCAGAGAAAATGATGCAAACAGAAAAGGAAGGTTTTAGCATAAATCCTACAGCTGTGCAAGCAAGATTTCCAACATTAAAATAACTGAAATGAGTATCTTCATATAGATCTTCTTTTATCAAACTGGCTACCGTTATAAAGGACAAAAAAGCAAAGCAAAGCACTGATCGTATTTCCTTTCCTTTTTGGGTTTTTGTCTTTTTTTTTTTTTAAGCTAAATAGCTTCAGAATAGTACATTTGGGCTTAACAACACTGACTTTGGTACCCTTTGCCTACATTAACATGTATAATTAACATATGTATTCTGCTTTCAATACCTACATCCAGATGCCATTAGTACCAGTCAGGGCTATGTGAATGACATGAGTTCTGTTACATGAATATATCTATTTTATGGTAAATATATTAAAGTAAGCAGGCTAATGTCCAATTGCTTCCCTCTTCTTTGTTAATTATAATACCGTGAAATAGTGAAAGTACGCATGGTAAAGTTTAAAAACTTTAACATTCTGTATTTCCCTTGTGTTTAAATTATGTAAGTATCTGGAAAATTATGAAAATAGCCTGACCCAGCCAATATTATGTGAGATTTTGTCAAGTGCATCTGCCTACCTGGGCTGCCTCAAAAACAAAGAAATCATGTAATTGTTTTTTCTGTTTCCAGAGAGTTTCAGTTTTTTAAAGTAAATCTCTTACTATGAAAATAATTCCTCTTTGAAACAGGTAGTAGGAGGAAAGATGACTGAATCAGGTCGACTTTGTGCATTTATCACCAAAGTTAAAAAAGGAAGTTTAGCGGATACAGTGGGGCATCTTAGACCAGGTATGTATCTGTACTAATGAATTGCTTTTGTAAAGGTGGTAACAAAAGAATGAGTTTATTAGAAGTGAGATTATATAAAATAAATGCTGCGAGGTGCTGCAGAATTTTACCTGCATTACTACTTTTATGAAACACATAACATCTGATGTTTTTCAAAATCATATTTCTGTATTTTCGTTCATATTTTCATGCACTCAATATCACATATTCCACTGATGTCCCACCCACTTAATTTATGGTGTATATTTTTATTTAGAGCTAAACCGGTCTATCACATATGAGCCAGAAGAACCAGTTCAGCTAAGAAACTTTTAAGTTCTGTTTCTGTTCCACGCAAACCATGGATTGCCACATTGGAGAATGTGCAAGAAATACTAAACGTTAACATAAGAACTATCAGAAACCTAGAAACCTAGATAGTAAACTTTTATATGGAAATGGGTCTTCAAAATAGTAAATTGATATGCTGTTTTAAAGATCTACATCTTCTAAGGAACTTTTTTTTTTTCTTTTGAGGCCTCAACTAGCAATGCAAGTAAGAGGTAAATCTAATTCAGTAGAAGTCATAATGATAATGTTATTGTTTTCCTTATCTTTATCTAGTCAAGTTGAGCTGCAGAGAACTCTTAATGCTTAGGATTTGCCAGTATTTAAGACTCCAAGCTTGTTCTATATCACAGTCTTCCCAGTTCAGTAAACTTGCAATACTGTAGCTTGCATTGCCCTTGTAAGTACAGTTCACATCAGACTTCCTAAGCAGAATATTTTTACTGAAATTGTAGGTGATGAAGTACTAGAATGGAATGGACGGTTACTACAAGGAGCCACCTTTGAGGAGGTCTATAACATCATTTTAGAATCCAAACCTGAGCCACAGGTGGAGCTTGTAGTTTCAAGGCCAATAGGGTAAGTAACTTTGTAAATTTTAATCTTAATTATGATAAAGGTGTTGCTAAATTTCATTTTGATAAAGAACGTTTATAAAGAAAATTGTATGCAAAATTCTGTAAACCATAAACACAGCTAGAATGATAGACCTTCATGGTTGGTTAGTTATTGTCCAGCCTGTAGTTGTTCTGAAACTGTGGGTATGCACTTTATCATCAAAATCCTTCATTATTAAATTCATTCTTGATTCTTGCTTCTTCACTTCTGCTTTTATATAGCACATTAAAAGGGCAGCATACTTGGGGCAATGAAATTACAATGAACTCTATGACAGTCTGCAATGTAGAATTTTGCCCAAAATACAGAATATTAATAATATAATGAATATGCTTGTGAGACAGAGTTGAATCCAAATTCTCATCCTTTTCATCTATGAGGACATTATCTATTAAGTTATTTCTTGGTATGTAATATAGAACATATCCAAGGGAATCACTAGTAGTTGTGCTTGCCTCAACTGTCGCAGCTTTGCTTGCTTCTTAGACTGTGAATAATTCCCCTTCTTTCTCCATTCTTCAATTCCTACTGTCTGTGGTCATGTCCTCCTTTTATTTTTCTCCTTGAAGTTCCATAAGTGATTGTACCAGGGCTGTGAAAAGTAATGCTTATCGCTGAATTTGATTTGCTCTCCCTTATCATATCTTATTGAAGATAATTTTGTTTCACATACCCTCCATATGGATGTGAGATCTTTGCTTCTCAAATAACAGTTTATAGTGAAAGCTCCCATATTGAAAATAACTATTCATTTTTTTTCTCTTTTTGCTTTTTCTTTTTTTTTTCTCTTTTTGCTTTTTCTTCACTGTGGGAAATCTCCTCTATTCTTTCCTGTGTTTTTATGTGTGTTTTTCACTCTCTCTCGTTGTTTGCCCTCCTTATCATGTCTTTCATTCATATAACCATGTGTGCCACTTGCTGGCACTAGAGCAGATTGTTTATAATTCGTTAAAGAAGAGCTTGCATGCTCAGGATACCTTCTCCAGCACCAACTACCTGCCTTATTGGCTGAAGAACTGAGCCAGATCAGGGCTAAAAGAGTTATTCTGCATCCTTGATTCCTAGTCTGTTTCTGCAAAAGAGATGAAAGAGGTTCTTCACCTCCAAATCTCCAGTTACTAACGTAAAGGAATTTATATCCGAAGCCTCAGTGATAAATACCTGATCTAGAGATATTTTTCAGACATTGAATGAATATTTATTTTAATGATCTACAGGTTGGTGAGGTTTTAGCTTCTGATCAGATGATAGATGTGTCTCTTTGGAGTTTGATATAAAATTAGAACCTCAGAAGTGTTTTTCATGAATTTTCAGGTGATGAGCTGGTCATATAGTATCTTCTTCTTAGTTTAGGAGACTCCTTATTATAATCAAATGGGTATAGAAATGAACATCTTGCACTCGCCCAAGGGAACATAGCCATATGTCTGGAGTTCTGCCCCAGGGAATAAAATAATCATCACTTCAGACTTTTGGTTAATTTGAACTTTCAGTAATTTTAAATAATTGAAACTTTATTCCCTGGAGCGCTTTCACATTGAGGTATATCCTGTTAATTAAGACATGGGAGTCTTGTGATGGTCTCGTGGTAGTGCATTAGCTCATGAGACAGTCAGAGACTGGCACTTAGTTGAGAGAGAACCTGTGGTCTCATTCTGAGTGCAAAGACCAATTCCAGTAGATACTATGGTCAGTTCTCTTCCATTATAACATGAGCTGAATGTTATGAAAAGTGAAGGTGCCAAGCTAAGCTGATAAAGGAAGATGAAATGGAAGGGTGCTTTAAAAAAAGCATGGAATTTATCCCTTTTTTCTATCTTACAAGAAAAAATGATGACCAAATGGCTATTTTGAGACATCTGGCTATCTCTTACACGCGATATTTTTTCCATATTCCTCTTTCTAATTCTCAGACACACATTTTTTAAAATGGCATTTTATTTTCCTAGTTACCTAGTGTTTTCATTTTGGAAGGCATGATGTACTGTGTTGTATTTATTATTCTGTCAAGTATGCTTTTAATGAAAGATGCTCAAAAATTGTAAGGGATGCTAAAAACACTTGCCAAAACCCTCTCTCTCTCCATGCCAATCCAAGATTTCTGCAGCTGTTTCTCCTACATCTGTTTGTCTCAGTAACAGTTCCTTGTAATAATGCCTTTCAAACTGTTGTGAAATACTGCTGTATGATTGCTTCAGGAAAAGAAATGATAGTGTTCAAAGCTTTCAAGTTTTTTGTTTCAGTTATCTCCAGAAAGCTCTTATTCCATCTGCTCACAAAGGTACCTATTTTCAAGGTTTTCTTCTCAAACTCACCCACTAGAAATAATTTTAAATTAAAGGTTAGATTCTGGAGTGTATATCTGAGTGAAGTGATAGGCAAGTATTGGGTTCCTCTACAAATTCTACAAAAATTCCATATGTAAACCTAGGTATTTACTTTCCAACAGCACAAGGTTCTGACTTGCTTTGCTTACTAGCAGCAGAGACAGGGACATTTCCTTAGGCACAGTGGGCAGTTGTGCCAGTTGTAAAACTTTTCATTCATTCGAACTATTGGGTTCTGCAGCACCAGGTCACCTGGTGAATTGAATTCTTCAATAGTGAAGTTGTTTTTCTAGTGACTGTTGAGAAATGTTTGGAAACGATGTGTCAGAAGGGAACTAGGTAAGTTTTATGTTTATGTAGTGCCAACTTTCTTTGCATCAGGCAGTGGGTATTATTCAAAGCATTTTTTAACATTCCCTTCCTCTTAATATTTCTTCAAAAACCTGAATCTGCTGAAACACACAATATCTGAAAGTCATCATCTTGCCTTGTTCTGCCCAAGTGCCTCCAAAATGTTTCTATTAGCATAGTTTTAATACAGTAATATTTGTCCCTCACGGGAAGAATAGGTCTCGTGTGTGGGCATAGCGAGGTACTTAGTCATTGCAAGTGGGGTTCTAAAATTACAAAGCTCTACGTGCCACTTAATAGAGGTGATACAACATCCCATGTATCTTTAAGTACATATTTTTGCCAGACTAAGTTGTACAGCTGATCTTCCCAATGGAAAGGTAAGGTCTTCCAAATGTGAAGTTCAAGATGAGTAAAGGGCATAGTGGGATAGCCACTGCTGAGGGCCCAGTATGGTTGAGTGTCCAATAAGTTTAAATCATTGATAGTGTTAAAATAAAGTTTGCTACTCACAGTTTCAGTGTGCAGTTGATGCTGAGATTGCCTGCATGCTTTTTCAGCTACTCAGTTATTTTATTTGTGGTTACACAAAGCTGCATTGGGTTTCCCTGTGACTCCCCGTAAGGGTGGCATTCCCCTTCGGTGCTCCTGCACTCACCCAGCCTCTCGTGCTCTGGGTTTTAGTTTTGCCACTGAAATTACTCACACTGGGCAAATGGCTGAGGCAAAAAAAGCAGATCATGTGGTTTTCCAGAGGCACTCCATGGTGGCTTGAAAAATGTTGCAGATGTAACTGAAATTTGAAAATGCTCTTCGATCAGCCTGTCTTTTCCTGATTTCAGGGATATTCCCAGAATACCTGACAGCACACATGCACAGCTGGAGTCCAGTAAGTCTCAATTGTGGGGTAGGAAAATATCCTTCTCTCTCTTTTATAAGTACAGATTGAAATAGTTCATCACTAAAGTCAATATAGCCCTTGTCTGTTTGTCTCAATATGTTACCGTCCTGTGTCATCTATTTATCTCATCTGCTTTGTTTAATAATAAACTATCAGATGTAGGGATGTGTTAATTGAGGCTTGACATTTTGTTATAAACTTAGACTTCTTTTTATTGAAAGGAAAAGCATAATGCTGACTAATATGCAAGAACATTAATCTCAAATTTTAATTTCCCTTAAACTAAAAATGAGTATGAACTATTCATTACTTAGAACTAAAGTGTCAGTTACTTTGCAGTCAGAACACTTCTATTTTATTAGGATCATTCAGCTCTCTTTAAATAGACGAAGCCAATATTCATATAAGAAAATATCTTGTTCTTTGGTTTAGACCTTATAAAATGGATTTCAGCCTGGAGTTTTTTTTTTTTTTATCATTGTTTTAGATTTCTTTTGTAGTGGAAGCTATTAATAAATATGGTGTCATAAACTTAATTATAGCAGTGTGAAGAAACTCCTACAATAACTTTTCACTGATGAGCCAAATCCTAAAATAAAATCCATTACATTTTGTGAGATATGGAATGTTAATAAGCAGTGCTTTGTGCTTTTAATACAGTCCTTTTTCTTAGTCTACATTATATGTTAAAACTTGTTCTCTTACAGAGCCTCTTGGAGGTTAGAAATAAAATGTACAAAACACTCCATCTGATATAAAAGGCTAATAAAAATAATGAATCTAATTGTACAAGATAATAAGTGCCCTTCAGAAGACTGAATTCCTTTGGCCACAGTAATGTAAATAGAGAGTTTGGACCTTCAGTTTACAGACATTATTTGAGATGTTTGAGATGACATTTTGTCACTATTATAAACTTGGTGAGCTTTTGATTGCAATTCAGCATCAGAAAATTGAGTATCATTATTTGGTCATTTTAAATAGGTATAGTAGCAATTCTTCCACAATAAGCAGCTTTATTGTATATGTGATTATTTGTATCTTTTTATTTAAAGAATGTTGTGAATAATACAAGTGGTACTATTTGTAAAAAAACATTTATAATTACAGGTTCTAGTTCATTTGAATCTCAAAAAATGGACCGACCTTCTATTTCAGTGACTTCTCCTATGAGTCCTGGCATGTTAAGAGATGTTCCACAGTTCTTGTCTGGACAACTTTCAGTATGTAAACATTTCATTAATATTAATGTTTTAATGTTGTGCCTTTTTCAGCATATCCAAACCTGTGCGGAGTATGAGCTAGCATTAGAATAAATCTCTTCTTAAACCTTTTTTTTT